GACAAACAATGTGCTTCATAAACCTCAAAGTATTTGCTCTCATGTGTCTTGCGTACGTCTTGTGCGAACACTTCTCAAAAGGAAGTGCACCTACAACACTGCTTCTGCTTTCTTATTAAGACACTCTAAAAGTGAAACACTGAGTGGTCTCATGTCCAAAAAAAGAAAACACAATAACTTTTAAAACAAAGTTGTTTTTTGCTTTTAGTCCAACATATAATTGACTTTACAAAAGCAGTGGACTGAAGAGCAGAAAATCAATGAGGCTGATGATTGTTGTTATCAGTGATTCAAACCTACAACTCATTTAAATTCACACAAGCTATTGTACTATTTATATAATGCAGCACACATTCATGCTGCATATTTCATATTTATGTTAACTGACCTGCTTCCCATGTTTTCTTGGCTCCTGCCTGGAGTTGTGTTCATAAAGAAGCAGGTCACATAATGTTGCACAGGTTACATTCCTCCTCTGCTCTTCTGTGGTGATGTTTAGATTATCAGTGGGATACTCGGTGTTTCATGTTCGACTGACATTTGCTGAACTAACAAGAGTGTCTGTCATAAGTCAGGAACTTTTAATATGAAATACAATGTAAATAAGCATTATATTTTAGTTAATTGTTTGAAAATGAAGCACGTCTTTCATTTTCCTAGAAAAACTGAAAATTCTTCAACTTTATAAATAAAAGCTGTTTCTGCTTTTCTCTTATTTAAGCTTTGCATGTTTGCTTTGGCAGACTTTTTACTGCCAAACTGTCATATTGGCCCTTTTTCGACATGGCACCGAAGGGATTTCTGTCTCCTCCTGGGATCAAACCTATAATCTTTCACTTAGAAGAAATATGTGCAAACTACTGCACTAAAAATATGGACATTACCATCACAAGTAAAGCACACAGTGTCATATTGGTCAGAAGACTGGTGCCCTCTCAGACACCACATCCTGTGACTACTTAAACCACAAATTCTCACTTTGTCTAAAGAATGAAGTGTGTGGATCTGCAAGATTTTTGTAGGGAAGCCTCGAAGTAAAACAGTGAGTAAGCACAGAAGAGAGGAGAGAAATGTAGTGTGTTTTAAAAGGTTATTAGTTAGTAAGCAACATTATGCACGGCCTTACAGGAAGAGCCCTCTGGAAAGACGTGTAAACACAAAAAACTGTTTCATTCGAACTGTCAGTCCACATTTAAAGAGTTTGATGGTTTAAGACAAACTTTGTTTGAAAATGATGAGTAATCGTTTTAATTTGAGACATGTAACAAAACTATGCAGGAAATTAGGCTTTAAAACCACATGAAGCCATGATCATGTGCAACAATGAGTTCCAGTCAGAATAGCAACATAATATGATGCACAATCTACACACCACCATCAAACTGCACAAAACATGTAAAATTCTATTGAATTTGAAACTTTCTAAAACCCATATGGACGTTTCAAAGCCTTTTCATAGCGATGTTGTCCTGGGGGTTGTTTTCATAGGTTTTA